GCGCCCAGCACCTCTGCATCGCTCCTATGCCCTTGGCACAGCAGCCCAGTGGCCTTGGTACGCTTCACAGCATTCCAGGACACTTGGGTAAAAAGAGGTAAAACTTGCCTGTTGTGTGGGTTGAACCTAGAGCCTTGTGGTAGTGCCCAGAGCGCTGCAACCACTCAGCTATTGTGTGTTGAGGTATACTTCTACTTGTGTCTTGTTTATACCTTCACCACCTTCCTTATCCAGTATCTCGCGACTTTGCCCCTATTTCACCTTTCTCTACTCTTTGGCTTACTATGGAGAACTCCGAGCTACTGTACAGTTCCCAAACCTTATTTCTTTTCACCTATATAACCCTGGTGTCCACAGAGCGTCTCCTTACTTGCTCACTGTTGGACACCAGGTCAGTACCCTTGTATTTCGTCTTTATCAATACCACTTGCTCACTGTTGGACACCAGTGCCTCTTCTGAGTTTGATAGGTTATGAGCCCCGCGCTCTGAGCCGTCTAGAACGTCACAAACCGCCTCAACGTCGCTCAACGCGTCCTAGAAGCCCCTCACCACCACTCCATCCACTCCATCCAGCCCCCACTCCCTATCTGATCTCCTTGATCTCTCTCCTGGACCACTCCATCGCTCTCACCACCACTCCAGCACTGCGCCTACGCTCCCTAGCACCTGCGATCACGCCGATCACGCTGCCAACGTGCTCAGCGACCGCAAAAACCCCCTCCTAGGTCGCCCTCTTGTGCTAGATTGCTGGGGATTGAGCCCTAGATAGCTGGATTAGTGCCTGTTGGCTGGTTTTGGGCCTCTTTGGTGTGTTTCTGTCGCTCTCAGCGCTCTCCCTGCGCGCCCCTCGCTGTCCCTCGACTCCACGTCGCTCCTGGACGCTCTCTGCACCCCCTCCTCGCGCCTCAACGCTTCCCATCTCCTCACCATCTCCTCACCTCTTCACCTCCTCTGCTGCTGCACCCCTTGTCCCCTCGCTCTCCCATCGTCTTCTACACCTCTTCCTCATCCCCATGCACGACGCCGACGCCTCCAAGCGTATCAAGGCCCTCACCAAGGACAACTATGCGTCCTGGGCTGTGGACTTCAGCGCTCTAGCTCGCTCCAAGGGGTTCTACAGGCTTTTGAAGGGTACTGAGACGCGTCCTCAGGATCCTGACAAGGCTGAGGACTGGGATACTCGCCAGGAGAAGGCAGCTGGCGAGCTCATGCTCTCCCTGTCTGAGGAGCAGCGCATCCATGTCAAGGGCAAGGAGGATGACCCCACTGCTATGTGGGACGCTCTCCAGGCTGTCCATCAGCAGAAGATCCCTGGCACTCGCTTCAACGCTTTTGACGACTTCTTCGCCCTTAGGAAGCGTCCTGAGGAGTCCCTCAGCTCCCTCATTGCTAGGGTGGACACCCTCTATGCCAGGATCAAGGATCTTCGCCCTCCTGCCTACACCCTCGACTCTCTGGACCAGGAGCTGGCCTGCATGGCCCTCATTCGTGCTCTCCCTGAGGAGTACTCCCACTTTGTCTCTGCCCTCATGCTCCAGTCCACTCTGGACAAGGATGCTGTGGTGCAAGCGTTCATCCAGGAGGAGAACAACAGGACTCGACGCTCTACAGCGCCTGTGGCCTCCTCAGAGGCTGTCCTCGCCGTCTCGGCCCCCTCTTCTGGCTCTGCCCCTTCCCTCGACCACTGCACCTGCACTGGGGAGCTCCTCTGCTCGTTCTGTGAGAAGCCTCACCACTGCTTCCACAAGTGCTTTGCCCTTCGACGTGCTAAGAACGAGCTCAAGGCCCAGTCGAGCTCTAGGAAGCCTGGCAACCAGTCTGGTCGCTCTCAGCGTGCCAACCAAGCCCAGGCAGTCGCTCCCAGCGCTCCTGGCACTTCCTCCACCGCTCCTGTCCCTCCCTCGGCCTCTCAGGCCGTTGTGGAGTATGCTGGCAATGCAAGTCTTCGCTCTTCTCCTTCCCCCACCAGTCCCACCTGTCCTCTCCAGCTCGATGCAGACGCTGACTGGATTGCAGACACAGGCGCCACTTCTCATATGACCCCTCACCGTCACTGGCTGCGCTCCTACACGCCTATGCGCGTCCCAGTTCGCCTTGCTGACCACACTGTGGTCTACTCAGCTGGTGTAGGGTCTGTGGTGTTCTGTCCTAGGGTGGGAGGGAAGGAA